GATTCCTCGTCTCGCCACGAGTCCGTACATATAAAATTTACCAAAATCGGAGTTCATTTGACCCCTCTAATCACCAAATTTTATTTTCAAATCCCTAGGCCTAAATCCTCAATTTTTCTACAATTTTCATGGTCAAATCCATACATAATTGATGTACTTAACTCAAAATAGGTGGGGATAACTTACCTTCACATTGATGATGAAAATTCCCTCTTGAAGCTCCCCAAAAATCGTCCATACTTTGAAGAAATGAAGAAAAGTGAGCTAAATCCGTGTATAAAAGAATCTGCCTGTGCTTCGTCGAGTTGTACCTTGCACTTGTGCTATACAAGTTGTACATCCTATTAAAATTGTTCCTTGTCGGACACCTTCTGTTTAAACACCCATAACGTCTTGTTTAAATATCCAAATGACAAATGGTTTGAAGATTTAGAAACTAGACTCAAAGATCTTTAATTTGATATGTTGTACACCATATAACTCTTTATATATCCCGAGATATGAGCTTCTAAAATGCATCGTAAATTCTGCCGAAATTGCTCCAGCAGCCCTTTCCGATCCATCGTAACTTTCTGAGATGATATCCAAATCGCGAATGGTTTAACTTTCCGAAAACTAGAATATATGGGCTACAACTTTCATGTTTTGCACTTTTTCTGATTTCTTATAGATTACAAGATATGAGCTTTCACACTGCACTACTCGCACCTAAAATTTTCTGGGCATAGCAAAATTTTCTGCAATTTTTCCTAAGTCCGAAATCACTCCGAGACACCTCCGAAACACTCCCGAGCCCTCGGGGATCCAAACCAAATATGAACACTGACTCTAAAACATCACACGAACTTGCTCGAGCGATCAAATCGCCAAAATAACATCAAAATCAATGATTTGAGCCTTAAATCCAAGAATTCTTTCAAATTTCATAAACTTTCAAATTTTCCAATTTAAGGCCGAAACCCGTCAAACTACGTCCGTTTGTAACCGAACTTTACAGGAAGCGCTTAACCAACATATATGACCTATACCGGGCGTCGGAACCAAAATACGATCCAGATACCATTACTTTCTGATCAAATTTCATTTTCATTTTCCTTAAACATTTTCAGAAAACAATTTCACGAAAAAATTCATTTCTCGGGCCTGGGACCTCGGAATTCGATTCCGGAAACACGTTCAACTCCCATATTTTTCTATGGACCTTTCGAGACCGAAAAATCACGGGTCCGGGTCCGTTTACCAAAAATGTTGACCAAAGTCAACTTTAACAATATTAAATATCAAAAATTTTCAAATTTTTCCCATAATTCATATATTTCAACACAACGATATTCCGGACACACTCCTAAGTCCCAAATAACCTAACGAAGCTATCCAAACTATAAAATTCGCATTTCGAATCCGATATCAAAATTTCCACTTCCGGCCAAATTTTCTCAAAAACCTTCAATTTTCCATCTTTAGCCGAACGACTCCAAAATGACCTACGGACCTCCGAATTCACTTCCGATCGCGCTCCCAAATCTAGAATCACCATAGGAGCTACTCCTNTCTTCTAAAATGCTATCTTCCACAATAGGCGCCAAAACGCTCCCGAGTTATCCAAAACCCGATCTGGGCATACTCCCAAGTCCGAAATCATCATACGAACCTGCTGGAACCTTCGGATCCCAATTCCGAGGTCGTTTACTCAAAATTCCAATCCTAGTTCATTCCTTCAATTTTAAGCTTTCAAAATGAGAATTTCCATTTAGATTTGACTCCAAACTTCCTGAATTTTAATTCTGACTATACACACAAGTCAATATACCTGAGATGAAGCCGCTCATGGCCTCAAACTGCTGAATGATGTCGAAGCTCAAAATGACCGGTCAGGTCATTACAGCGAATCACCCGTGCGACGCGGTCAAATAGAAATAAGCTTATTAACAAGCAACATTAGCAAATAATATATATATGAGGAGTAACCATACACAGGAATACCAAATATCCCCATTTAAAAGGCCAAACAGGAGAAGGCTCCTTCACTAGTCTTATTCTTCTTACTCAAATAGTTCATACGAATCCAAATTTATCAACAAGTACTAAAATATCACGTAGAACATGCTTATGGGTCCTAGACTACCCGGACTTAACATAATAGTCGCTACGCACGGACTCTCGTCACCTAGTACGTACGTAGCCCCCAAATATAATGGCAAATAATTTAATTATTATATCTATGGGGACAATTCTCTCTTACAAGATTAGAAAGGAGACTCACCTCGCTCCAAAGTGCACTTCCAATACCGAACACGAGTCCAAGCCCTCAATTCGGAGCCGAACAATCCCAAACTAGTTAAATGAAGTGAGAACTAGTCAATATAGACTCACAAAATTGAATTCTAGCTGTTTAAGCAATTTTCCAACCATTAACACAAGTTTTCCTAAATTCGACCCCAGGCCCACGTGCCCGGTTTCTGAAATTTTTCGAAGGAAGTTGTTCTCTACAACCTAAGGATCAATAATATATGATTTCTAATTAATTCCTTAACATAGTTCGTGGTTAAATTCAAGTTTTACCAAAACCCTAGGTTTTGCTCTAATCCCTTGATTTTACCTAATTTTCTAGTGTTTAACCAACCTAAAATGAAAGTATTAAACTAAGGATGGGTGGAATAAACTTACCTCAAAATGATAAGTGAAGACCTTCTCTCAAAAGCTATCAAATCGCCCAAAGGAGGAGTGGAAAATGTGGTAAAATGACTTAGAACCCGTATTAAATGAACCTCACTGCCCAGCGATTTCCGCATCTGCGGTCCTGCATCTGCGAGAATGCGACCGCATCTGCGAAGAAAGGGAGGGAAGGCTGGGACCACATCTGCGGTCTCCGGGCCACATCTGCGAAACCGCTTCTGTGGTTCCTGGCTT